GTGTTAAAGAGGCTTCTGGCCCTGACACTGGAAGATCTGGTTTAGGGATTACAGCAGAGTGACAGGTTAATGGTTGAACTTGATGATCCTAAAGGTCTCTTCCAACCTTGATAGTTCTTGTCAGGAACTGCAGCGATAGGATGAGGAGTAATGAGTACTAATTGAAAGAGGGAAATTTAGATTAGATATCAGGAAGAAATTATTTCCTGTTCTGGTGGTGAGACCCTGTCCCAGGGTGCCCAGGGAGGCTGTGGCTGCCCCAACCCTGGCAGTGTTCACAGCCAGGTTGGATGAGCCTTGAGCAACCTGCTCTGGTGGGAGGTGTCCCTGCCCAGGGCAGGGCTTGGGGCTGGATGATCTCTAAGCTCCATCCCAACCCCTTAACATGCTATGAAACTATGACTGTCTTTTCTTCCCCAGACCCAGGGAGTGACTTGGCAGGAGGGGCTGCCCTAGCGGAGGTTCCTAATTGATTGCTCGTTTGTCTTCAGCCCCAAGGCCCCAGTTAAGCACTTAAATGTGTGCTTGAGGTTGCAGACATCAGCGCTTCTGATTTGGAGGTTTGGCACAGCCTTTACTGGCTGGACCAGGGCCTGATCCTCTCTCTCCGTGGTTTGTTTTAGGCTGCTGGTTACTCAACTCTCTGCTGTTTCCCTGGCAGGGGGAGGAGTCAGCCATGCTGGGAGTGAGTGGGTACGTGGAGTATCTGCGGGAGCAGGAGGTGTCCGAGCGCTGGTTCCGCTACAACCCACGGCTCACCTGCATCTACTGCGCCAAATCCTTCAACCAGAAGGGCAGCCTGGACAGGCACATGAGGCTCCACATGGGCATCACACCTTTCGTGTGCCGCATGTGCGGGAAGAAGTACACGCGCAAGGATCAGCTGGAGTACCACATCCGCAAGCACACGGGCAACAAGCCCTTCCACTGCCACGTCTGCGGCAAGAGCTTCCCTTTCCAGGCCATCCTCAACCAGCACTTTCGCAAGAACCACCCCGGCTGTTTGCCCCTGGAGGGGCCCCACAGCATCTCCCCCGAGACCACGGTCACGTCGCGGGGGCAGGCGGAGGAGGAGTCTCCTCCCCAGGAGGAGGCCGTGGCCGTGGGGGAGACGGCGCAGGGCTCCGTGTCCACCACCGGGCCCGACTGAACCGCCGAGTCCGGGGAGGAAGGACTGTCTGCCCCTTCTTGGCTCTGAAGAGTCAGTACCAACCTGGCAAGGCTGGTACTGTAACGAGTGCAATGCCACCACTGGACAGAAAGAAGCTCCCGAGATGTTGCCAAAATAGAAGAATCTTTCTCTCTCTTTCTCTCTTTCTCACACACACCCACACACACGCACGTAGAGTGTTAAACGTTTTTCTCCCTTATTCCTCCTCCTCATCCTCTCGGAGAAAAACAGAACAACTGTGTCAATCAACTTCTTATTCAGGGATCGACAGGATTTTACATTTTTTTACTGTTCCATAGCGACCTGGGACGAGCAGCCCTCGGTATTTCTGG